TTGTTGTTGGAAAAGTGGTGTTTGTTGGATAGGAGAACCGGTTTGAAGTAGATTGATAAAACCGCCTTGAGGTGACTCTATAGTCGGGAATTGGCGAGGTGTTGTATCTAACGCAAAAGCGTTATCGGGTTTGCGATTTCTATAGTTTGGAGGGGTATTTTGGTTGGGATCCATGATTTTTGGTTGTGAAGATGTAGTGTGTAGTTTGTGTATAGAGAAATAAAAGAATGGTGTAAAAAATAAGGAGTAAAAAAGTTGTATTTATAGGTAAATAAATTGTTTAATTTTTTTTTAAAAGAAACTAGCCGTTCAACGGCTATAGCAACGCTCAAATGGAATGCTTCGAGTTGATTGGGCGTGCGTTTCCGTTGTGCCGAGCACGAGAGACAACGACAACGTGCCACCACGAAACAACGGGGTAGTGTGCACGCCCGTTGTTCGTGGCCAGCTCAACCACGAACGTCCTCGTGCTCGGTATACCACTTGGCCTTATGTTACAAATCTTGTTGGAGTTTTGGTCATGGAAGATAATGTTTAAAATGTAGGTTTAGCTATGCCATTTTTTTTTGAATAGTTAAATAGTCATGAATATAGTTAAATCATATGATAGAATTCCCTCCTCCTCCCAAAAAAAAAACAATCTTTTGTTTCGAAAGAATTATTTTCTATTTAAATTATTGTGAATTTGTTTTTTTACAAACAAAATAACTTGCATAAAACTTTAAATACTATAAAAACCAATATATATATATATATATATATATATATATATATATATATATATATATATATATATATATATTCAGTTTAATCACCCAAGTAATTTTTTCTTCTCAATTTAATCATTGAAAGTTTTATTTCCTTAAACCACCTTTAACCAAAAAAATCTTACATTTGTTTTTTGCAAGTCATTAATGAAAAAAAAAAAAATACAATCGGTGAAAGAGGAAACTAGAAAAAAAATATTTTTATAGTTAAACCTAATATTTTAAAAGTTAGTTTTTTAATTGACACGGTATGGTGACCAGATCATGGGCCAACCGATTCAACCACCAGGTTAATTCGGTTTTAAAAACTTTTATGCATTTTACATATCCCCCCTCACAATATATGTGACATCCCCATTTTTCACAGTCAGAAAAGACCGATTTTGTTTATGCTTTATAAAAATCAGAGTACCTCTTTTAATAAAAATGTTGCGGAATTTGTTCCCAGAAAAACATGATAAATACGTTATCAAAGCATTTCCGAAGAAATGTATTTTTATCCATTTTAAAACATTTGGGATGTCATCGTCAATACAGAAACATAAGCATAAACAGAACTTACATTCATTTATACTAGTGATCTACATCTCTTTTAAATCCCTCAGTGTAAAGTAGCTTCATATCGACACCTGTGATACAAATAAGCTTGAGTGGGTCAGGTTGGGAAACCTAGTGAGTACATAGGGTTTTCAACCCATAATAATTTAATTATTATGTTTAAACATCAAACAATCAACCCAATTACCCATCCTCATTATCTTCCTTACTCTTAAGGATCTACCCTAAGAATCATCTATCCTGCATTCGTTCATTTCGAAGCCCATTGCTTCCAGGGTTTATATGATAGACACTAAGTCCACAGCTGTCAATGCTTGTTCGTAAAGCACTAATTCCATAGCTGCTAAAGTTCATTCATCGGGTACTAAATCCATAGCTACTGGTGTTCAGCTAATAGGTACTAAATTCATAGCTACCAACGTTTATTTAACAAGTACTAAGTCCATAGCTACCAATGTTTATTCTATAGGCACTAAGTCCATAGCTGCCAATGTTATTTGTTAGGCACTAAGTCTATAGCTGCCAATGTTCACTCATATCATCTTTCATCTCTTATCATTCATCTACCCATGTTTTACCCAACATATTCGTAGATATAAAATACATATACATTTTAAATTATTTAAAACATGTATAAAATCGTTCATCCAGCATAGAAAGCAAGTATTCAAATAATATGCACACATACCACGTAATTTATATAAAATACTTCATATCTATGTGTAAGATGAAAGTAACCATGCACTCACTTGATAAGGTGGTGACTCGGTACTCGGACAACGCTTCATTTACTTTAAAATAATTTCCTTCGATGAAACCTAGTATTATTACCACTAGATTTTAGTCTAATATTTACCGTGACTAATTATTAGTCTTATTATTATTATTATTATTATTATTATTATTATTATATAAGCGTTTAAACAATATTTTCCAACCACTATGTACAGACAGGGGCCAGACATAAAACACCGGAGGGCAGGATCATTTTGGCATATAGCACTTCTGAAATCCAACAACCCAGGCGGCCCTTCAAACCGGATTCCCCGTACCGTGAGTGGTTAAATAGATATTATAACGACATTTATATAACCCATAATAATAGCTCAAATAATTATTATAAGGTCCTAATAACGTTAGTATATTTAAATAAAAGCTATATTAAAAATTAGGTAGATTCCCCGTACCGTGAGTGGTTAAATAGATATTATAACGACACTTATATAACCCATAATAATAGCTCAAATAATTATTATAAGGTTCTAATAACGTTAGTATATTTAAATAAAAGTTATATTAAAAATTAGGTAGACGTATCTTACCTACGATGGGATTTGGCTAGAAGTCGGGCTCTGCAGGGGCAGGACTTCCGAGCCGAAAGCGCTTCTTCTTGGAGCCGTCGAGCGCTCCGGGGATTTCTTCTAGCGCTAGGGGAGTTTTTGGGAGGTTTAGAGAGAGTGTAGAGAGAAGAAAGAATGAGAAATGTGTAAAGAAAATGAGGGTGAGAGAGGTTCTATTTATAGGGTGAAATATGGCTGAACTTGGTGCCACATGTCACCATCTGGTGGCAAGACTTGGGAAGAAAGCAATGGCCAAGATTGTGCCACGTCACCCATTTTCGCACAGCACACTTCCGACTTCTAAAATCCGTAACTTTCGCATACGAGCTCCGTTTTTGACGTTCTTTATATCCACGCGTAGGTAAAAATAAGATCTACAACTTTCATTTTGACTCCGTCGGCTAAGTCTCGAGCGATCTTAAATTTAACAGTAGGAGGAGATTATACTGTTAAATGACCGTGAAAAATTCATAACTCTTTCATACGGACTCCGTTTTTGTTTTTCTTTTTATCGTTGACTTCCTTTTAATGAGAGCTTCAAATCTCATTTAGGCCGCACATGCCAAAAACCGCTCGATCTAAAATTCGAGTTTTGGGCCGTGCACTGCTATGCCAAATCTTAGAAAATTCATAACTTCCTCATACAAAGTCAGATTTGGGCGTTCTTTTTACACACGCTCTCGGTTTAATGTATACTACAAATTTTGTTTAGATCACTAAGGCCAAAAAATACTCTATCGTAAATTCATTATTTACGTCTCCCGGTGACGTGCCGGTTTTGCCGTAAAACTTCGACGGACCATAACTTTTTCGTTATAACTCGGATTTCGGTGTTCTTTATATGTATGGAACCCTTGTAACATATACTACCACTTGGTTAATATTAATCATTATAAATAATATTCCATCAATAACTCATTTTTGATGCTTCTTGTCTTTAAATTGACTAGCCCGAATGTGCGGGCGTTACAATATATATATATATATATATATATATATATATATATATATATATATATATATATGTGTGTGTGTGTGTGTGTGTGTGTGTGTGTGTGGGTGGGTGGGGGGGGGGGGTAAATGAAAAACGATAAGAAACAATTTGGGCTTAATTTAATAAGAACTTAAAAAAAAAGGTAACTAGAAGTTCTAGATGAATCAAAAACATCAAATAATACCCTAAAGTACAATACTAAAGTATGGGGTAAGAAGAGTAGGCAATGTATTTAAGTGTTTGTGAGTTTTTAATTAGACGTCTTAATAATAGACCTGACGATAGAGTGAGTTTTGATCCTGGTCCGCTTCAAACCCGTACATAATTAATGAGTTTGGATCATATTTTATGATTCGTTTACCCGTTAACGACATGTACCCGTTAACCCTTTTATTAAAAGGGTCGGGTATGGATGATCCGATCCGTTTATGATCTGTCCCGTCTAATTTTAAAATATAAATTTATTATTTATAAACTATAAGTTATAAAATTATAATACATTTATCAATTATCAATCTACACGTACAGAAGTTGAGGAGTTAGACACTTAGACTGTTAGACGTTCCACTTCAACTTCCCAGTTCAGGTTCCTAATCCAAAGCCGATTGCAGTCGACTCCCAAGTCCCAATATAATCGACTCTATAATCTTTGAAATCGACTGTGAAATCGATATTCCACACAATCAAGACACAAGAGCAAGAAGAAAATGGCCTTAATCAAGATTCAAGAACAAGAAGAAAAGGGCTGCAATCGAGTGATCGACAAACCACAATCCATAATCAGGTTTGTTTAAAACATTCTAATATTATCAACTTTAGAATCGACTCCAATTGTGTTATGTATTAAAATCGACTCCAACGGACTTCTGATGTTCTGCAAATATGCAATTGACTTCTAATTTCTTTTGTTAATCTATCGTTTTTGTAATCAACCTCTGATTATTGATTTATGATTTTTGTAATCGACCTCTCATTCTGAAATAGAATTCTGAAATCGACTTCTAAAATAGATTTCTGATGCTCTGCAAATATGCAATTGACTTCTAATTTCTTTTTTTAATCTATCGTTTTTGTAATCAACCTCTGATTTTTGATTTATGATATTTGTAATTGACCTCTGATTCTGAAATCGACTTCTAAAATAGACTTCTGCTGTTCTGTAAATATGCAATCGATGGTATAGTCGGTAATCGCTTATTAATCGACTTTTGATTTATGTAATAGTTTGTTCTGCTTTCTTAATCGTTTGTTCTTCTTTTTGTAATCGTATGTTTTGATTTTTGTAATATTAAGTTACAAATGATGAAGTGGGAAAGTAGTGACTATGAGTTTTTGCGCAAGATGGCTAACCCAATGAAGATAAAGTTAAAAAATATTAGAATGAGTGTTGCCAGGTTTAGCAGTTTCTGTTGTATTTTGATCCAAGATACAAATTTTTTTTGGGTGAGTACTACTATAGTAAGATCCATGGTTCTCTTTCAGTTTCATATGTTGAAAATGTTCGTAGTGCTTTGATTGAGCTATTCAACGAGTATGATGAGTGCTTATTTCATTCTAAAGCAGAATCAATTCCATGTTTTTGTGGTTCCTCAAGTGAGGTACATTTTCCCGATGATGAGTTGTGTGGATTTGATTCTTGGTATGAGACGAAGAAATCTAATGTAGTAGCTACAAGCAAAACTGAGTTGGAGCTTTATTTAATAGAACCTTTGTTTCAAAGAAGCGACTCTTTTAATATCCTAGATCGGTGGAAAGCTAATAGTGCCAAACATCCAACTCTAGCAAAGATTGCACGTGACATATTGGTTGTTCCAGCAACTAGTGTTGCATATGAGGCATCATTTAATAATGGAGGAAGAATAATTAATGAATGTGGTTCTTTCTTAACCCTTAAAACCGTAGAAGCGTTGGTGACTACACAAGATTGACTACGGTCAAGGAAACAAAAAATATGAACGAGTGGATCGGTTGGACTTTGGATTTTTTAAAGATGTATTTTGAATTTGAAGTGTACATTTTCTCATGTAAGTTTGCAATCATAGACATTTTTTTGTTTTGGAAATGTTATTTATATACAGGGGCAGAGCTACTATGTAGTCCAGTGTAGGCCGGGTTACCCGTCAAATTTTCCCATCAAATGTAAATTTAGTGATTTTTTTCGAAAATCCATTACAAATCCGTTGGAAATCCATCACTAATCTGTCGGCAATCCATCACAAAGTCTGACAACTGTGAATTTAGTGTAAACTCATTGGTTTAGTGACGGAAACTTCCTTCAGAAACAAGTTTTTTTTTTCTAATAGTGCAACCCTTAAAAAATTTATGCAACCCCTGTTTGGATCAGCCACTGTTATATAACTATAATTGAAGTTTATTTTGGAATGAATGTTGTTTTGTTTTAGCGATCATGTTATATGTGTTTTAATGCATAATTATAGCCTAAACTTAATATTGAAATAAGTTGGGTGAAATGGTTGAAATTCGTTGATCCGATGGATAAGGGTATGAGTTTAATCATTCAAAATCCTATAGGTTATGGGTTGAATTTGGATCATCATTTGAAAATTGCTTAACAGGTTTGGATTAAGGCTGCTCCGCTCCAAACCCGTTCCATTGTCAGATCTACTTATAAGGTTGCCTAATTGTTTTTAAATTTTGTAAGTGGTTCAACCAATATTTTTATAAACCAGACCGAATTGACTTGAGTCATAAATAGGCAAAAATATATTTTTAATTGGCCCGATTTCTTTACTGGGTCACAACCTAATCCATTCAACCTGTTAAAAAAAACACCATAATTTTTTTTATGGAATTACCTTAAATCATTGATAATTTATGATATTATAATTTTATACTAAAAAGACAACTTTTCTTTAAGTTTGACCAAAAGAATGAAAAGGTTTATTTTCAGGATAAATTCCAATCATTTTTACTCTTTGTCTCCTAACAACTAACTGATAACTTTGATTCATTAGAAAGATAGCTTAGATATATAACAAATAAATAAAAGTCTTTGTGTGACAAGTTAAATGTAACATTTTAAAAAAATAGAAAACATCACGGTAAAATAATATTAAAGATAATTTAATTGTAGTATATTGTTATTTATTTAACACCTGAATGGATTTTATAAAAGATTAGGCAAAAGAAGTTATGTATTAATCTGATTAATTCTCTATGTTTGATACTAAACACAGTGTGTTAGTAATATAAATTTTGTGTTACTATGGTAGAAAAGAAGAATAAGAGATGCAATAATTTCAACATAGGATCCATTGTGATTTGATGCATTCCCCATAGTCTCATGTCATAATCAATCCTGCAAAGCTTCCCAACCAGAAATGGCCACCAATTGCTACCATTAATGCCTTCCTACATTCCATTTTAATTCCGATATCCGTTTACACTTCAAATATTTGTTTAAATGGGTACCCATTTCCCCCAAAAACTATACAAAAATAAACATATTAATTGTATGTCAAAAGCAAATATAACATTTATATACAAAATTCATTTACTCTTCCTATCTGAATCAAATCGGTACCAATTTTGGATCTAATACAATTCAATCCGTCCTAATATTGACATTGATGTTAACTGCAATTTTTTTCTGAATCGACCGCTACCTGTATCTATACAATGATTGTTTGAAAAAAAAAACACATCGAGCATTATACTATCACGAATGATATATCTTACATTAACAATTCTTATGAACGAGTATATTCATGATATTTTCTTTCAATAATAATATTTGTAATAATATTTGAACGGTGACAACTTAATTCTATATATTTATTAAAGAAAAACAATCTTATTTATCTTTTATATTTAACAAGCCAATAGACTCCATCAACAAATCTTGTCTTTTTTTTTTTTTTTAAAACGGCAAACTAATATAATGATTAATGTTTTGTTTGACGTACTAAGATAGTTGATAAAAAATCATTTTTGGTAAAAATTAATTGATAAGTTAGTTGGAAAATATTCATACTAATAAATGAAAATCTTTTTACCACATGTCACATTTTCATGTATTTTGACACACATAATTTTATGGTAATTATTGATTTTCTTAATTAACTATCTAATATTTAGGTTATAGAAAGTAATTAACGTGTCATTAATTTATTTCCTTATATTTTCAAATTTTAATATGTTTCCTTCAATATATATAATTCAAAATTGACATATTTCTTTCAAAGTTCATTGTCATTTTAGGCAAAATAGTCTATATAGAAAAAAATAATCAAACTTTGTTGTTTTTTATTGACAAACTAAAAAAATAGTTATATGGTCAAAATATAATTATTTTTTTGTAGTTTGTTTTATTAGTATAAATTGAATTATTTATTTATTCATCATTTTGTTTGTATATATTTTGAAATTTTATTTTAAAAAATACTTAATGTTTACACTTCAATATTTAATATTTTCTTTAAAAAAAAAAATACTTAATGTTTATATCTTAATATATAACTTTTTTAATCAACCCGTATAGTACACGGGTTTCACATATAGTGAAATAACATAAAAAAAGATATAAAACAATAGGTTTTCTATAATTAATTAATGATACATTAGAAATATTTTAAGAAACTCTTAAGTGAGATTTTATCGATCATGCAACAAAGTTCGCTTGATTAATCCGATCATATTCTTTTAACACAGACAAACTCTAAAACTGGTAAAGAAAAATTAAATTATTATTGTAACAATATAGAAACTGAAAAACTAGCCTTCAACTCTAGACTCTAAGATATTGTCAACATACGAGACACACAATAAGTCGTATAATAAGATAAACTCCAACTGGATCTTATAATGCAAGAAAAGACGTGAAAAAGAGTCATTTTTCGTCCATAAACTCCTCACATCTTATACCATCCAATTACCAATTGCCACGTGTCTTTTTATTTTATCTTTCTATTACGATAATTTAAATATCTTTCTATATGCAATCATAATACATGTAAAAGTGAACTAACTCATAACAAATTCTATATATAAATTGCATACATCAAAAGCCCAAATGACAAATCAGATATCTGTACCTCTTAAGGGCATAATAGTAAATTACCCATTTACCCTCAGCTCGGCTTAACCGGCGTCTGTAACATAGGGAAAAATGTCCAATTCTTTTCAGACCCCAATTCCACACCAACACCTGGATTCATGTTGTCAAAATTAAAATCCCTATGTCCTGATGAAGTTCTAGAAGATTCTAGATTGTTCACGAGATCCAAATGAGTCAACTCAAACGAAACCCTATGGTCAACCAACGTTTCTCCCTTCGGTGAATTCGTTGCTGAGTTGGCAAGCGACGCCACCTCAGAAATCTGACTCATTTCGCCTCCATTTGGGGTCAATGAACCCGACCCTAATCTCGAACCCAATCCATTTGGGGTCAATGAACCCGACCCTAATCTCGAACCCCATCCATTCGGAGTCAAGGATCCGGAACTCAATCGTGAACCCAATTTCTTCGTGTTGTTATAAGGCTGGAACTCGTATTGTGAAAATGGGAACTTCTGATTTTGTTTTCTCGCACGTGCGAGAGATGACGTCAGCAACTGTGCGAATGGGACTTCGGGGGATGAAGGGGTGGTGATTTGAACGGATTCAGGAGGGGGTGTGAAGGAGGCGGTGGAGGGTTCGGTTGTGTAAGTTGAAAAGACAGGGGGTGAAACTAGCTGAGTCTCGTAAGCGTAGGGACCGATTGTGAAAATTGATGACGCGACTCCTTGGGATTTGAACGAGAGTAGACCGACTGGTGAGTAGGAGGCTGAGGGGGGATCTGATTGGAGGAACGACGCCGGAGAAGACGGCGGAGCAATGAAAGGGAATACGACGGTGTTTGTGGTGTTTGTGTTTTGGATTGTTGATGGTGCTGTTGGATTGGGTGCTGTTGATGATTCAGGAGCTAAAAGGGCGTGACTGATTTGTTTGCTTTGTTTGTATGATCCGAAACACCAGTATAGACTCCAGCAGCTGCTCCATCTTCTTTTCTGATCATAAAGATATCATAAGGAATGTGAATAATTTATACTTGGATCATATGAAGTGGATAGAACAAAACATTATGTGATGATTGAATTTCTTAAATTGGATCTACATGTATACTTTGAGTAGGAATCAATCTTAAATCTCGCCATAATTATAAACATGGAATTGAAAAGAAGATGAATGATCCAGGATTCCAGGCAATTTATTGCATCCAATCACTAAAAGTCGTACCTATTTGGAGTAACAATAGCGAGAAAAATGAATATTATTCAGATGGAGCTTCAGAAGTGGTCCATCTATAATTAACTTCATAGCTTTTCCAATAATTTGAGAAAACTTGTGATTTTTCAATTCAACAGCTACACCTTCTTCAATTTCAAGCGATTATATCACTAAATTATACACAACTGATTTAACAAAACGAAATTTTTACTACCGATTGCACTTGAGAAAACGGAAAATGAATCGATCAGAATCGTCATGTAGCAAACGGAAACGTTCACAATATCAAGGATTCATTGGCTGTATCGATTCGTCAAATTTTTCAACACATATACAGAGAAATCAAATCGGTTTCAAATTGGAAACAAACCTGAACGGAGGTCGGCTGAACGCGGCTCTCGGCGGAAACTATAGCGGTGGCTGCAGCGTTTACTGTCTCGACGCTGTTATTAACCAAACTCATATTGATACAATCTATTCCACCGTCAACGCCGACTATGATTCACGGATTTGCCGATGATACATGGACGGAAAACTATAGGTTGATCAGAAATGCCACAAAAAATCATGCAATAATCGAAGAACATCACATCAACTACATAAAGTAAGGAACAGAATTAAAAATGGTGATGATTTAATTAAAAAGTCTATGAGAAAAGGGAGGATGCACACGACGCCCCTGTCTCTCTCTCTCTCTCCTCTTCCTCTATCTAGCTGTGATTTTGTAATTATGTCGCACGTAACGCTAAGATTTTAAATATTATTTAAATAAGTGTATATGGTTGGTGGTAATGATGAAGTAATTAACTTAAACATTGGGGTTTGATTGGTAAGATCATGGCAAATTGCCAAATTGGAAATGTTCTTCAACTTTATAATCAAATAAAGATATATATTAAATGTAAAATAAACATATTTTAATTTGAAAGATATTCTTTAATCTATGGTATATATCTTCAATGATCAAATAAGAATCTATTTAATATTAAATAGATTTTTATTTTAGATAATAAGTTTTTTAATTTGATACTAATTTATAAGATATATTTTAAAACCAACACCAATTTTACCATCAAAAAATATTTTATCTTTATAAAAATTAGAATAAAATATCTTTAAACTCCATTTACATAATTTACACTAAAATATATTTTAATATATAAATTCTAATATATGAATTATAATAGTTAAAAAAATAACAAACCAATTAACTACTAATATTTTATTTCACCTTTATAAGCAGAATATATGTATATAACGTCTCTGACCATTAACTTACCCAAACTCTACCCTATAAATAGAGGGTGTTATGCATTTGTCTAATTGTCTTGTATATCTCATGTATCTTTAAAAACACTTATAAACACTTTTATATGGTTAAATGAGAATGTTGTCATGATCCTTTGAGTTGAGCTAATTTGCCTTACAGCACATTATCAACACTTTGTTTAAAGTCGGAAGTATTATACTCAACGTTTATCGCTCGAGGTGTAACAAAATCGAACAGTTCAAGATCATTCGGTAAGTTTTTCTTGATATTCTATGATTCCATTTTTCGGCTTCAACAAGTTTAATACCGTAAAATTATAGTCATTTGATATCACATCGTTTTTAGCAAACTCTTAAATTACTGTTTAAGAGAAGTTTCATATATGCTAATGTTGTATGAATTTTCTGTGAATAGAAATTGCCATAATATGGAAACCTCTATATAAAATTTTCATTTAATTTCTAAAGTCATTTATATGTTGAAGGATTTCTTTTTATACACGATCATCTTTTTTTTTTGGCCTACGTGTGTATGAATTCGGCAATTCCCTTTTTTTTTTTTAGATGTAATATGATTGTTTTCTTAGTAGAACCTAACATTTCAAATAACAAATGTTCCCTACAATTTTTGTTTAACTTGCCATTTCTTTTGTCAAAAAAATAAAACCACAAGTTACATAATATCCTCTATAGTTCATTTGTATCATATTTCAATATGATTGGTACATTGTAAGTAGCGGTTGGATGAACAGAATTCGTATAATTATACGTTTTTATGAGCATATAATTACTTATTTATGTATTATAAATGGTTTTTTGTCCCTTTGGTATGCCTAAAGTTGTTTAAGAACTCTTTAACATTTGCATGATAGATTTCAACAGTTTTTTTCTCAAAACATGCATTTTTTTTATGTATTAGTCATCTACCAAACCATATATTCACATTTAAGTTCGAAAAATTATGAATAACTGATGTGTGCATAATTAACTACATATTTAAGGCATATTTCTAATACTTTTAGCTACAATTATGCTTAATATGGAACAAAAGATACTTATTATGTTTAAAATATGTTTTGTAGCGGCGAAGACTTGATCGGGACAAAATGAGAGCATACGAGGAGCTGGAAGCAGGAAACGTGAGCTAAAACAAAAGAAGAAAAGAAGATGACTGAAGACCACGTCGTGGTGATATAACCGCGACGTGGTGATTGGAATATTACCGAACCATATTCTGACTTGGCAGACATGGGATTTACTTGAAGCCCACGTCGTGGTGGCGGTCAACCGCGACGTGGTGGCCAGATTTCCACAATTATAAAATGCCAGACATTAGGTCGAAATCAAGGGATGCATTCGATTTTCAGAGGTTAATTGCAATTAACAACCCTTAGAAACCTAGAAGAAAGTCGAAATTCAAGTGAAGCTCAAGATTGAAGAAGGTTTAGAAGGAATTCAACATTGATCTAGTTGGTTTGCTTATTAAACTTATGTATAGCTTATTTTACTTAGATTTAATGTGTTTTTCTGCTACAATGAGAGATTAAACACCTTTTGCTTCTGTTTGGTGAAGATGAACTTGATCCACATGAGTTGATTTCAATTATTGGATGATTATATTTGATTTTTCTTGTGTATGATATATATAAACCCTAACATGTTCTAGTTCTAGTTTTTATTGCTTATAAATTAGAGTTTGTGTGTTAAATGATCATATTAATTGCATGAATCTATATCCTAATTGTTTATGATCATTAGATAATTAGAGCTATGATTAATCACATCTTAGTTTAAGTAATTAAAGCTGATAACTTTAACTATGTTAGAGAGCATAATTAGTATTAATTTGTGATTGGTTGCTTGAATTAATCATAGGAGAGTAACCCATATCATTCATAGTCCAATTGTGCTATTATCAATTTGGTGTTTAACTTATGCATGATCATTGCTTTGTCATTCATAAATTGTTAGGCCTAAATATTTGATCATAATAGCTAGATAACTGGTAATCAATATAATCTATCCATATGAAATCAACCATTGGAGAAAGTGAAATCAGATCTAGGCATAAGTATTCTTTTAATACTTGAAGTTACTTTGTTTTCGTTGCTTCATTACTTGTTAGGTGATAATTAAGTTATTCTGATCTTGAAAAATCAGTAAAACCCTCCAAATCATAGTTTGTTAGTTAGTTTAATTAGAAGTAGTTAATTTAATTAATTAAATTTCGTTCCTTATGCTAATAATGTTTGTAGGTCTTAACCACGAAATGGGAACCGAGACAAGGGTCAGTCGTCCCGAAATCCATGTGAGATTTCGATTCTAATATGAACCGACGCCATGTGGCTCCCAGGAAATCTCATACTAGGAACAACAACAATAGGGCTAGTCGTCCCAAAGTAACATATTATGTTGATGAGCAGACTTTATGTTACAAATGTGGTGTTTATGGTCATATACAACATACTTGTAAGGCTACTTCCAAAGAAGTTCAAAACTATCATATGGGAAAAAGTTGAAGCAAATGCTATCAAAATAAACACATTCCTTGAGACCCCTTATTTTATGGCTCAAATGAAATAATAGAGCTATAGTTTAGCTCCTAGATTATGTTTTATTTCTCCTTGTTGTATTATGTTTTATATATTTTAGATTATGGTTTATTTTACCTCGATCATGTTTTCTAGAAATAATTTAAAGTTTATTCCTTATAAAATTACTTTTTACATGTGACCGAATTTAAATTATTTTTACTTATAGGCATGCGACGTGGTGGCCATATTTCCACAATTATAAAATGTCTGACATTAGGTCGAAATCAAGGGATGCATTCGTTTTTCAGAGGTTAATTGCGATTAATAACCCTTAGAAACCTAGAAGAAAGTCGAAATTCAAGTGAAGCTCAACATTGAAGAAGGTTTAGAAGGAATTCAACATTGATCTAGTTGGTTTGCTTATTAAACTTATGTGTAGCTTATTTTACTTAGATTTAATGTGTTTTTCTGCTACAATGAGAGGTTAAACACCTTTTACTTCTGTTTGGTGAAGATGAACTTGATCCAGATGATTTGATTTCAATTATTGGATGATTATATTTGATTTTACTTGTGTTTGATATATATAAACCCTAGCATGTTCAAATTCTAGTTTTTATTGCTTATAAATCAGATTTTGTGTTTTAATTGATCATATTAATTGCATGAATCTATCTCCTAATTGTTTATGATCATTCGATAATTAGAGCTAGGATTAATTACATCTTAGTTTAAGTAATTAAAGCTAGTAATTTTAACTGTGTTAGAGAGCATAATTAGTATTAATTTGTGCTTGGTTGCTTGAATTGATCATAGGAGAGTAACTCATATCATTCATAGTCCACTTGTGCTATTATCAATTTGGTGTTTAACTTGTGCATGATTATTGTTTTTTCATTCATAAATTGGTAGACCTAGATATTTGATCATAATATATAGATAATTGGTAATCAATATAATCTATTTATAAGAAATCAACCATTGGAGAAAGTGAAATCGATTTAGTCAGAAGTATTCTTATAATAGTTGAAGTTACTTTGTTTTCGTTGCTTGATTACTCGTTAGGTGATAATTAAGTTATCATGATCTTGAAAAATCAGTAAAAACCCCCCAAAAAGCATAGTTTGTTTGTTAGTTTAATTAGAAGTGGTTAATTTAATTAATTGAATTCCGTTCCCTGTTATCGACACCCGACTTACCTGAGCTAAACTATAATCTGACTAGGTACACTGCCTATAGGTGCATAGTTAGTAAGAATTTGTTAGGTTATAAATTTAAAACTAATATCTACTTTCGTGCACATCAAAGGTTTTGGCATCGTTGTCGGGGAACGACTTATTTGGTTATTAGTTTAATTGCTTTTAGTTATTCGATTTTTTTTGTGGGGTAAAAAACCACAAAAAGTTACTTTGCTTGATTTTGTTTATTTTGTTTTTGTGGTCCCACTTCAGTGAATTTTTTAGTTTATTGATTTTTATTCCTTTTATGAGTTTTTCTTCTGTTTTTGTTTTGTTTCAGTGATTTATGACCCGAGTATCTAAAACTCCAATTGTTCCTCCACTAGAAGATCCATAATCTACTTTCCACAAGAAGAAGGACAAGAAGGGGGAATCGAGCAATACTTTCAAATCTGAAAATTTTGAACTTTTTGAGAAGACTCCAAGTAAGAAGGAAGTAAGATATGAGCTAGAATCCTCTACCGAAGGAAGTTCGGACGATTCAGAGTTAAAGATCGAAGAAGAAGAGATGGCGGACATTACGAGAATGACGATGGGCGACTACAAGAAGAGGACACGTGAAGAACATGGACCAGGTCTAGTTCCAGCCGAGAGAAGTTTTGAGCTCAAATGGAACATTTTATCCATGCTCAAGGACATACCTTTCACCGGGAAAGAGTATGAAGATGCTTTCAAGCACATTGATGAGGTTAAAGATATTGCAAAGTACTTTC